TAACGTTCTGCTCTCTCTGCTTTTTCTCATAGCAGCTTCATCTGGTCTGTTCCTGTTTGGCTGTGAATTTAATTCCACTTAATTTCTAATGACCCGCGGAAACCCTGAAATAAACTGAATTGAACTGATTGGTCAGTCTGCTCATCAGACCTTCAGCCATGCAGAGTTCGGTCTGATTTATCAGAGCGGTGGAAATAAACCTGCTGTCTGAATATGGAGCACTGGTCAGTTTTAATGAGGTGCACTTTAAAGGCTCCTCATGCAGCTGAACTAATAACGCGTTTATCTTCTCTGAGTTTAGTTTGATGACTGATTGATGGATCAGTCCGTTTAAAGGATCCAGTTCATTTTAAAACAGAGAACAGCAGAACTCTGTCATCAGGACATCCTTCCAGCTCCTGAAGCTGTGGATGAGCTTCCTGCTGTCAAACTGGTCCTCAGCTTAAAGCCGAGTTGATCAGGATTGTCCTGAAGTTGATTGATTGTCCTGAAGTTGATTGTTTATCCTGAAGTTGACTGATTGCCTCTGTGCTTCAGTTATCCTGATGGAGAACCTCAGCATGTCCAGGTATGAACTGGTTAAGCCGCTGGTCCTGAACGATGAGCCGTCTGTGACGGATCAGAACCATCATTATGGACGGGAAATGGGCCGATCCAGTTCTACCCTCAGGCAGGTCACACTGCCGCTGCTCTGGATTCCCAGAGGACCGAACGCTGCTGCCCCTCTGTCCCTTTTAATGCTTCGGGTGAGGAAGGAGCCGTAAGAGGCAGCAGGTCCAGATAGCATCCGTTCCAGGCTCCTGAGGTTCTGATTGGACCACCAGTATGATGGGCTGGTAGCCACTCATCATGCTGAGCATTATATCATCTGTTCCACCTCATGGAGGCGCTGCAGGCCCACTGAGAAGGAACGCATTCACAACTAGCTTCTCCATTTAAAGGGTGAAATGTGAGCTTTTATTGTGAAGGACTGTGACTTCCTTTACCAACGGAACGAGTTCATTTATAGGTTTTATTATTTTCATCTGTGAGAAATTAACTTGGAGCTCATTCTTTTTAATTATGAACAGGGACACAATTACCTACGGATTGTTAGCTAACTAACAAGCCAACTAGCTAACCAGCTAGTTAGCTAGATTACTAAATCTTTTAGTGCTACATTTTTACATTTTCCTGGAAACTGGTTCTTTGAATGTTATTGTTTTAAAAATTACAGTAAAGGTGTTCTATGCTATTCTATTCTGTTCTGATTTATGGTATTTTATTCTATTCTCTTCTGTTTTATGGTATTCTATTCTGTTTTGTTATGTTTTATGGTATTTTTGTTCTATTTTGTTATGTTTTATGGTATTCTATTCTATTCT